TTCTGCCTTCACCCTGTCTTGTCCTTCCTGTTCCCTTGGCCTGAAAGCCCCGCAGGCTTGGCACCCAATGTGGTCCCAGCCTTCAGTACCTGCAGACCTGGCAGGGATGGACATTGACCCCGAGCAGCAAGAGAAGCTTGGCCTGCCTGAGCATCCACCCTGCAAAGCCACCCCCTTCTGCACTCACCAAATGGAGAATGAGCTCTTTGGAAAAGCTGGCTGGATCCCCCCAGCATGAAGCAAGGAGAGCTGTGAGTTGTGCTTCTCACCCAGGGTCATGGGTGTTATCAGGTGTCGATACCCGAGGCTCAGCCAGCTTTCAGGGAAGGCATGCTCCTAGTAGTCAGGCACACATCACTGCAGAGTGACGAGTACAGCTGAACTATGGCCCCTGAATGCCTGAGAATTTATGGAAATACCAGACATGCACATGGCTCCAAACATGCCCTCCTGTGCTTGGTGCCTATGGCCATTATTTTTCTCTGCTGGTAGTTTCTACGTCAGGATCATGATAGGACAAGATTGGCAATTTTGGCCTGTTTATGCTACGGTTTCTCCAGCTCTGCCAACTAGTTTGTTTCAAAGGCTGCGAAGGCTTGGGTTTTCACTGACCTCTTCTTGGAGCCCAGCTGAGAAAGCACGCACTGGCCTCAGTGAAGAGGACTCCAGAGATGGATGGGATCTTTAGCTGGCCACACCGTACTGGGAGGGCTGGTTTCTGTGGACTGCTCCCACACCACTGCCTAGTCAGCAAACCCCCATAACATGTTAACCCTTTACAGTTTGTACTCTCTGATGTATTCCCCCATGCTCCTCTCTTCAGCTTTGAAATATTCAGATGTGCATCCTTTTGCCAAAGCAGACCCCACTGACACGAGAGCTGCCTGCTCAGCAGGACTGACAAGGCCATGCACTAGAGAAAGCGAAAGGGGAGCAGGGATGGGTGGAGGTGACCACTGCAACAGATGAGCTCTATTCTCTGCAGCTAGGACCTCCATAGGAAGGGAAGAGGACTGAGAGGGTATTAGAAAGAAAGAGCCTCTCTGCTTCCCACTCTGGTCATCAGACCCAAATGAACACCTCTTTTCTCCCTTCCCCCAGCTCCCACCCACCTGATGAAGGCATTAGTGACAGTACAGGCTACACAGGCTACAGCTAAATGGAGACTAGCTACGATCTACAGTCATACAGGGTCATTCTCCGATCAGTGCGCATTTTGGCAGAAAGACAGGTCTGCTCGTTCTCCTTTTCCCTCCCCTCCTCCAATTACTAACACACTACTGCTGTAAATCTTTTGCCACCCTGTTGATGGCCGTGACTGGACTTTGTCTGATCAGGCCCCAAGGACTGGCATGCTTGATGCCCCGTGGGCAGTTCTGGATGTGCTGCTCTCTGGGAAACACGGCATCTCCCTTGCAGAGCTCCGAGGGCATTCAGGCTAACCATGCTGAGAAAGCCCCTGGTTAATCTGTGGTAAGCCCTCATCACAAATCTCCTGAGAAGACTCGCAGGTTTTGAAGCCCATCAGTCTGGCTAAGACATTCTGATAGGTGCTAATCACGGGGGAGGGAGTCTATGTTCAAAGGGCTGAGGGCAAGGGACAACGGAGGACAGAGATGGAGCTAGTGCCATAATTGTGACAGACCCCTTTGAGGTTCAACAATGATCTCGCCCTGTCGTTGGCATGTGTGCTGTGGAATGAGCAAATTCTCCTTTTCCAGAAGAAAATTCTTTTGAAAAGCCACCTGATGATGCAGTAAGGCCTCCTTTGTGACAGCCAGGTCTTGTCTCATCCCATTATAACGTGACGTTACAATGCAGACAGGAAGATGCGATGATGTGGCATCATCCCAGAAGACGTTTCTCGGCATTTTGAGTGCCCGGCTGCAAAATCAGGAGGGCTGGAAAATTTACCAGGGACAATTGTGTTGAGAGCTGAAATCACCTGGGCTCCACCAGCCTTTTAGGACACTGCCTCATCAAATTCAAATCCCATATGTTTAGTTGAATGGGCTGCTTCTGAGTCTCCAGCCTGCCTGAAAGCAAGATGTTTCCACAGCAGCTAGCTAATGATAGCAATGCTTAGCATGGCTACAGTGCTATTCATCTCAAAACGCCTTCCTTTTGAATTAATGCTCAAAACCCCACAGGGCAGGGAGGTGTTACCAAGGCTAAAGAGAAATGGAAATTGAGGGAGAAAGAGGGAGGAGGCTGTGATTCTGGTCGTTGAGGAGAGGCTTATTTGAGAGCTGAGGACTGCATCTTAGAACATCAACTCATAGGGAGAAAAAGGTCTAACAAGAACATTTTACGCCCCCTATCTTTGACGGTGATCAGCAAAGTAAAAGCAAATGTTGAGATAAGCGCCAATATCTGTGCTGAACGCCCACATTGGAGAAGCTACTAGGGGCTTTCAGAAAACAAATGAGGTCCAGTCTATTTGAACTCTACTTTCCCCCTCTGCAAAATCCTCTTTGCATGTCCTGGGTCACCCGAGATATCCCAGCATTTGGCACCACAAATTCCTGGAGACTCTTCACAGAAGTGATGTCACCCCAGGATGTCCTTTGAGATGATCTCAGGAGACTGGGGAGCAGTAAAAGGAAAAAAATAACAACTTCAAAGACAGAGGGGGAAGTGTTTTAAAGGATTGACTAAAGCTGTGCAGGACAGTCTTGGCAGCTTGATTAGGAGGGGTATTTGGTATGGAAATCCTGGCCTTGCTCACTTGCAGTTTTTGCTTTATCATTTAGCTTAATGGGCTACTAATTCAAAACCAGCTGTAAACAGGGCTAGCTATGAAAAAAATTAACACTGCCTGCCTGTGGAATTTAAGGATATATAATAAAAATAATCATAAAAAGAAAGAGCACTGGTTTTTCCATCAGACAAAAATATTTGTCATTGAAAATTCTGCTTAAAAAAAGAACACCCAAAATTGGAAAACTCCTCAAAAGCCTCAGCAACTTTAATTTCATATCCAAGCACAAGTTTCATTTGTAATACATACGATAATGGTGTTTAATTGGATTTATTTTTCCACACTAGGTTCCCAATGGCCTACTTTACTCCTTTTCTCAGCTTTTTGAATGTTATTTACAAATCACTCTCTGGGATTTAATTTTAATGGTAGCTTGATTTCTCCCTCCCTCCCCTCCTTTTTTTGTAGGTACTTTTCTTTAATTGTATTTGTGGATTTGCCTTTTAAATAGGCAATTGTGACTACATCCTGAGCCTGAGTAAGTTGCCAAGAGCAGAGCTTGATTTGAAAAAGGCAGAGTAGTTAAAGGGAGCTGGTGTAACACCCAGCATTTATTGTTCTTTTCATGGGAGTACCTGCAGGTGCTTTACTTGGGCAAGTGCCCTTTTGCAAAACAACATGGGTTCTTAATAACACTCTACCCCAAAGCTCTGCACAGATATTAACTATTTAGGCCTCTGAACATTCCATGAGTTGAGTGAACCTTCATCATATGGTGGTAAAACAAAGATACTATGGAGCCCTAGGCCAAGATTTTTTAAGTGAATATGGGGACTGGCTGCCTTATTGTTGATTTAGTTCCAAATGCTGCTTTCAAAAGCTGTAGCCTGCTTTCTGGGAGTCCCCAGTCTCTGCACTTTTTCAGAATCTCAAGGTCGCATCCAAACCCCTTGGATGCCTTGTGTGGACGTCGGGGCCACGCTGCCTGGACCTGAGGCATGCTTGGGCAGCACAGAGACAGGAAAAGTACTCAGGCCCTGTTTTGCCTTCATACCTTCTTCCCTTGGAATAAAGCAGACAGTAACACCCCACTGTGCACCTCTTGTCATGCTCTCTGCCTCAAATGCAGCACTATTTGACTGGCAGACTTGGGGGTGTGTGACAGAGGAATGAGAAAACAAAGTGCTTCACTGTGAATAGTTTGCACAACTAGAGTGAAAAAATACTCCAGCAGCAATTTAGTTTTTAGCTTCTCACTTGTCCCTTCCACCATCTCTGCAAAATTTTAGGTCTGCTTATGCTTTTGATCCAAATCAGAACATGTGGGCAAAGACAGTTTAGGACTGGAATATATATTAGGAGCAGGTCTGTTGAAGATGATCTTAAGTTTTACTGAATCTTTAGGTTATGAAATAATCAACTATAAGAACATTTTGATTTTAATAAGTTAGCCCTTATGGTAGCGTTATGTATAGGTTGCTGTGTTACTTATTACTTGAGGCTGTGTTGCTTGAAGTCCCTATTCTCTATTCTCTGGACTCTCTAAACCATAACCAGAGCCTCTAGGTTCTATTGTTTATGGGATGAATTATTTGACAACCTGGCAAGGTAGATATCTAGTTGGCCAACTTGGCAACAGAACCTACTTTTAAGGTGTCCTGAACTGAACTGCCTTCATTATAATACTAAAAAACACACCCACAGGTCAAGAAGACCCTTGCCCAGGTGAAGACCCTTCCCCCGCGCAAGCGTAGTAACAGAAGAGAATGACATAACCGATATTATAATTATATGTAAATCACTAACCAATCATTGTAACTGGGAGTGTACTACCTTATAATTTTTGTGTATAAATGTAACGGTGATCTAGCCATAGGTGTGCTTGATTTGTGGAAATTCCACCTTGCACCCGGCGCCGCAATAAAGAATGCCTGCTTTCTAAAACTCCAAAATTGAGTCTTAGAGAGTTCCTCATCTGCCGATTTACGGTAACAGGTCTGCAGACAAATTGAACCTCACTGAAGACTGTCCAGACCTGGGTGAGGACACAATGTCATGGCTCAAAGCTTGGCTAAAGGTTGTTGCTGTTTAGTTGATTCATTCCCTGAAAAGGGAGGGGGGAAGGGGGAAGAATGAAGAAGGTGAGCAGAAGGGACCAAATGACATGTAGACAAGAAGGGAAAGCCCTTATTTTCCTGCATTTCTGAACTGTTTTGCCCATCCCTAGCTCTAAGTGTTTATAAGGATGATGGAGAATGACCCGGCTAAAGAGCTACTTCAACATAAAACATATACTGACCTGGAAAAGGATTGGGGAGTGTGGGTAAAACTCGTTCTAAGGGGGGAAAAAAAACAATAAGCAACATGCAGGAGAAAAGGATAAGCCACTTTTCACACCAAGCAAGCAGCAGATACAAACCTGATGGAGTTGTCCATCCCCAAATTAAATGAACTAGAGTAGGTTTCATATACAGAGCATTTTGCTAGCAACACACCTAATACATATCAACACCCCCTGGGACTGAGAGTCAGAGAGAAGTCATTTGAAAAACTAAACAAATAATATCCACACAGCAAGAGGGATTAAGCACCTGCAGTGAAGGTAATTGGAGTTGATGGGTCACATCTCCCCTCTGACTTTCAAGACCACTCGTGTTATCACACTACAGCTCCTCTTAGCTACACCTCTGGCTGGAATCTAGTCTTGGCAGAGAGTTGAGTTGTGGAAGTCCTCCACAGGTAGTTGCTGCCTCCCCAGAACCTTCTCCATAATGGATTTCTTGCCAGTGACAGGTCCCCTGGGAATCTGAGCATGGGAGCAGTCACCCTGGTGAATCCTCAAGGGCACTCTGTTTCTTTTGAGCCTTTGTCTTCCGCTGGGAACAGGGTTTTAGCGGACTTATCAACCTCTAGTTGTACGCAGAGCCTGCTGTTTTGGTTCTAGGGTTTTTACAATGCGTCCTCATTATACCTCACAGCAGGACTTTGTTATACGTCACTGCTGGCTTCATGCTTTGCTTCTTCCACACAAGGATCTCAAAGAGTTGCACAGACACTGAGGGAAACCGATGTCAGAGACCTCAGTCTGAGGCTAACAGAAGTGTTAACTCTGTTTTACAGATCATGCAGTTGATGCACAGAGCAAGGAAGCAATTTGCCCAAGGTCAATGCTGAACTGCTGGCAGACCCAGGAGCAGAACCAAGAATACAAGCCCTCCAGGCCTGACTCTGATCACTGGGTCTCCCTTCATTACCTTCAGAGCTTGCTGGATGTCTCGTACTGACTGAGACAAGTTCCTACTCAGGGACTGATAGGTAGGTAGACATTTAGCTGTAGAGATATGCCACTATGCAACAGCTGATAGGCCTGGGGCAACGAGTGGTCTCCTGGCTTACCTGTGAGGACGGTGCTAAGATCAGTGCTGACAGACACAGAACTCGGCAGGATACATCGGTAGTCTGCTATTATTCTCTGATCAACCCAGGCCCAGCTATTTGGAGGCCAATGGTAGTTTCTGACTCGCTGGAGCCCATGAGGACGTAGCAGGTCAGGCCCATCCGTGTGACACTGCCAGATCTCCTGCCCTCATGGTGGTAATGGAGCTGTTTGAATCCACAGCAGGCACAAGGGAGATTGTCTCTTGCATAGAAAATACGTGGCTAGCCTGGATCTCTGTGTTTATGCAGCAACAGGGGACTATTGTTCTGCAAAAGCAGGCTGTTGTGCTGACATGACTTCCTTGTTATTTAGTTTGGTTAAATAACTCAACTCCCCTTTACCTTCTTCCTGCACAGCAGGCTGCAGACTGCACAGCATAAGCAGTTAAAGCAAAGCACTACGGCCTCATTATCATGCTGCTTTCTATTCAAGGACTCTTACCTCTGTTCCCCTCACCCCTGCGTGCTGCCTTTATTGCTCCACCCTGGCTCATTAGCAGTGTCTCAGCCTTGCCCCATCTGGCTGTCCCCCTAACCACTTTCCTCCTCTCCTGAGTCTCCCCATTATCGACAGCCCCTGGGAAAACACAGGGTTTGCGCTAAGAGCCACTAAGAGAGATTTCGGCCACGGTTACACTCCAAACCCTAGCAGCAACCACCATAAGCAAATGCTCAGGCACAACAAAGCATGGGCAGAGAGTTAGGAGAAGGGGTGCAAGCGTGTGCACACAGCCCAGCACCTGTGCTGGGGCACTAACAAATAATGATAAGTTAGAGGCAAGCGCCAGCTCTTCTTAGGAACATGCTGGGATGAAAACTGCTGGGCTGAAATGATAACTCTACCTGAAGCCTCTCGAGGAGGCAGGGGTGGGATCCTGTCTACTGCTGCTTCTAATTGGCAGGGGCCTTGCCAGCTGCTGCTTCACCTCCGCGTTTCCTTACTCCCTGAAGGGTGCAGAGGATGCAAGCTGCAGAGGATGCGGCAGGGGACCTGCTGAGGTGGCAGTCTCCTATAACTGAGACAATTTAGCCAGCAGGACTGCAAAAGGATGTGCGGCACTGCCCTGTTGTCTCCTGTTGTATCCTCTGGGATGGGCTAGCTCTGTGGGAGGCAGAAGTCAACTAATTTGAAACAGCTTTCATTTCTTTCCTCCGCCTTGCTAGAATGCACCAGGTGCTGCGCCTCCGTCTGTGTGCCTGTGGGGGTGTGTGTGCTTGCTTATACATCACACAGGTGCATATGTATGTATACATATTCACGTACACGTAAACCTAGGTATCTATATGCTTGTATAGCAGGTGTTTATCTGGTATATATATATACGCACATATTTACACTTCTGTGTAGCATGGGTTCAGATACAAATTGTGACTTTTACTCATAATGCTTTCCATAGCAGTCTGTTAGCTGAGTGGAATGGAAAGAAAACACGTTCCCTCTCTCCTAATATACTTAGGGGAAAAAACCCTTTCCCTTCAGTTGTGGCACTACTTTTCACCTCTGTTGCTCTGTGATGGCAGCCCTGGCTTGGCCTCTCTGCCAGGTAATTTTCACAGAGGTCTGCATTACTGCCTCTTTCCTAGGTCTCACAGTATTTTTTGCGTGGGGGTTACAAACCCTGTTCCTAGGCTCTGCAGAGCTGAATCAACCTACTGGCTCGCTAATGCTGCAAAACATGGTCCTGCCTCCCAACTTCTCATATCCACAGATGTGCGGTACGGCTTCCCCTCTTGCATGGGCTCTGGTGCTTGTTGAGCCCTTCCATGAACTAATTCAGCTCAGTACAACAAAAGAAAACGTTTCGGGGCATTTTGGGGGGGTGGGCGGTAAAGCTCGGCTACTTTTTCACTGGTTTAGCAGGTTGAACTGGCTCAGTGGGTTGTCCCCTGAGTACCAGAATAAGGGAAACAACAAAAGCATGTGGCAGAGAGCAGGGTGAGCAAAAGGAGTGGGTAGGAAGGGATGGCAGCAAGCTATTAGATCAGTTGTATCATCAAACTGTACCTGAGTACCCTCTCTGCAAACATTCCATATTGCTGTTGGAGACAGTCTCCTGGGTAAGACAGACCTTTGATATGGCCATTTTTATGTTGTTGTAAACTCAGTCTCCAGGAGTGAGGGGTATAAATCTCTCCACCTACAGCAGGTAATCCTGCTGCTACATCCTTTAAGGAAGATCACTAGCTATCTATTCATACAGCTCAAGGGAGCTGCTTTTGTATTTTAATGCATCTTCTATCCATGGCATTGACATCTAAGGCACTTGGTCTCTCCGAGAGTTTTTCAATGCTGGCTGAGATTTCCTGGAATGGTAGTCACCCATTTTTCTCTATTGCTAAACTGTTCTTTCACATCATTTTGCTAGCTCCCCTTCTGCCCTCCACCACAGGCAAAGCTGCCAGTACCTCATTATTAACTCTCTGTTTGTTTCCTCACTCCTGGCTGCCATTCTTTTTTGTGCTGCAATGGGACACTGAGGAACCATCGCTGTATCTGCCTCCCTAGTGGGATGTTGCCCTACAGTGAGCTTGTTCCCTATTTAAAAAAGAAATAAAATCTCTGATTCTAGGGATGACAAACACTCCCAAGTATTTGAGTATCTGCTGTACCTTGCAAAAACTTGGCACTGCTTTATTTTTCTGCCTGGGTGTGTGGCTGGGAGTGTGCACTACCTGTTATTTCAGCTACTGTGTGATCACTACAGCATTTTTTTTTCATCTGGGCTTGTAGGTTTTTTCAGCTGCTTTCTTTATCTTTATGAGGCTGGATTCCCTTCACTCATTCCCCCCCTGATTTCTTAACCTTAGAAATACCAGCTGTATTTATTTTTTTCCTCTCTCTTTCTCTCTTGCATACTAACTAGAAGGAGAACAGACATTTCCTGAAACAATATGAAGCAATTGCACACTGAAGAAATAGGGATTAACGAAGCAACAAAAGTAAAAGTTAGAAACCGTCCACTGAAAATCATCAAATCTCTCTCAGCTCCTGCACCTCCATTCTTGTGGCTCTTGTGAAGTTCTCTAGTGTTTTCCAGCATAAATAGGCCTTGAATTTCTAAGGTAAAAATGATAAACAAAATCCTTGAAAGAAGGAAAGTTTTCTTCATACACATCAAAAGGAGGCTAAAATAGGACCCTCGCTGTTGCAAGTCATCTTTAATAGTTGCCGCATTTCCCCGTGGAATAGTTAACGGCAACTTTGCAAGATCTCCCTGGGTCTCTTACAGGTTCTGCCACTCATTTTACGACCATGGGTAAACCACTTCTTCACTCTGTACCTTAGTTTCCTACTGCAAAATGGTGCTAATAACACTCACCCATTTCTAAATAACTTGTGATGTTAAAATATTCATTGCTAGCAAATCCTTTGAGATCCTTTGAGGTGAAGTTCTGAAGTTATGCAAAATGCTTTTCTAGCAAAATCAACACCCCAACTAAAATCACATGTGCCTACATACTTTATTGAATTTCATCTTATATTTTGCTCCAGTGATGCATTTCAGCTCATCTGTGTAACAGGAACCAACAGAGAGGGCCAAATTTAGAATTCAGCCACAAATAATGGATTCTAAACTTAGCATTATATTAGTATCAGCAAGAACAAATCTGGAGTATTTGAAAATTGTGTTCCAGATTGCTGCCTGAGGATTTTATTTTAATCTCATGACAGTCACAAGACCAGAGTGAAAAGACTTTCAAAGTAGAAATTTGCTTTGTGTGCTGCAATGCTACAGGAAATCAAATATATGTTCTTTTATGATATTATCTGTTCTTTAGAAAAAAACTTCCACAGAACACACCCAAATTTTCCAAAAATTCACACTGCCATGAAATAAATCCAGAGGTGGTAAACAAAGAACGCCAATGGATTTGTCCTTTTGCACTACATGTGTTAAAAAATAACCATACCAAACCATGCTTTTTCTGATGGTTTCACTAATCTGACCACATACAGCAGAAACTAGACTAAACTGCATCCCGTGCTAAGACTGCTTTACACAGTTTATCTTTTTTCTGTTTAAAAAGACATGCAGGTCATGGCCTGAGTGTTTTAATTCAATTTAGGACTGTCAGAGGAATACAACCCTAAGTCACTTTTGCGCCTATATGTCCATTCATGTGAGTGGGTCATTCTGCTGCAGTCTATTTCTGGTGGCAATAACAACGTGTGGTCCAAGTCGAGCCCAAGTTTTGGACCTGGAATTGGGAACTGTGTTTTGAATATGCCACAGTTTGTACGTAGGCGTGGGTGGTAGGTGAGGGGCAGGGGCTCTGTTTAGGGTCAGGTTTGAATCAGCTGCAAAATTCAGAACCAGCAGGTAACTCTGCTCTAGAGTTTGGTCTAATCCCAACTTCTGTCTGTTGACACTTAACTACGACAAACTCAGTAACTGAAAGGTAGCAGAATGAGATCCAAGGAATTTTATTCCATATTTCATCTGCTGATTACCTTTTCCCCCATGTTCCCTATGGTATGCCCCTTTAAATCATTCTGTCTTTTCCCACTTCTTTCCCTTCCATTGTCAAACTAATTTCTCTTTTTCTTGACTCTCTCTTGTTCTCCTCAGGCTCGGTGGCTAGTTCTCTCCATCTCTCTGAATTACTTGTCATTTCTCAGCTGTCACAGACCCTCTGAGGCCTGGCCTTCTGTCTCCTTATTAAAGGGCCTGTCATTCTAAAGGTTTTTTTTGTTTCCAGCTTTAAAACAAACATGTTTTTATTATTTTAACAAAATCTGACTTCAGCAAAGAAAGTCAATCAAAGGGCTTGACTGTAAACCTTTTAATTTGGCTGTGTTCGTGTTTCACGGCAAGTATGAACATGGAGGTATCTGAAGCAGAGTGCTGAAAGCCAGTTCATGGCTGGAGGTTTGGAGGGGTGGGGGTGGCAAGCGGATGCTTTCCTGAGTTTTAGTCACCTTGTGCTTCCTATACAGCCTGGTCTTTGCGAGAGCGATCTGGACCTCCCTTCACCCTCTCCCATACTTACTGTAAAGGTATAGGCTGGCATTTGTGACTCCCAGCTTGTTGGCAGCCACGCAGGTGTAGTTCCCGTAGTGTTCCTCAGTGACGTTGGCCACCATCAGCAGAGACTGGCTCCCTGTGCTCTTTATCTCCAGACCGTTGGCGCTGTTTATCCTGGGAAGACAGGAGAAGAGGTGTGTAGTGCAATGGCAGTTGTGTATTGGGAAAGAAATCACTGTCCAGCAGACAGTAAACCAAAGTCATTCAGCCCAGCTGCAGGAAGGAGACATGAGAAGAAAGAGACCAAAGGTGGCATTGATGGAAACGAGGAGGAGGGAATGAAAGGAAGAAGGAGCGCAGTGGGGTGAAATGCCACCAGTAAAGCGGTGGAGAAGCAAGAAAAGCCGAGGGAAAGGGAGGAAGCCTTTACCCAGCACCGACTAACACTTGGAAATGAACCCATCATGGCCAGCTGAGGGCTAGTCTGTACTTGAACAAAAGGTTTTTAGTGAAACACACCAATTCATATGTTCCAATATAGCAAAGCTGAGTCATCCCTGAGCCTGTGCACATGGGTCAGGTTAAAAACTAGGATAATAACACCACCTTCTTAATGCCAGGTAAATGCTCAGATATAAGGAACAGATCCATTTTCTCTCATATGCAAATCTGGGTCGCTCAGGTCACACAGATGGGGGAATCTTACACCTCAGCAGCTCCTTCCCCTAGATGAAGGCACCTAGAGTGGCATTACCTACTGGGAGACTAACACTGCCTATTTTTTTTTTTTCTGTATCATGGGCTATTTAATGCATGAACATCGTCAGGAAGAAAGCACTACTGATGTCTTAATTGTGTATTGGCCCATAACTGACTTAAAGGCAAGAGCTCCATCCTCTGCGCTTCCTTCAGCATCCCCAGCACAGAGAGGGATTGCTTCCTCCAGCCCTGACCACGCTGGCTCTGCCAAGTCTGATGGGACCATCGTGACTTATATGGTTTGTGAAGAGTAATTTGTTTGAGGAGAAGAGCTGGGGAGGATGATAGGTGATTCTCTAAGGATCCTCTATTGAGTCAACTGAAGAGGAGAGAAGGGAAGGGGTGAGCTAAAGGTCTTACCTGGTATCATCTCTGTACCACTCGAAATCAGGTGTGGGCACTGCTGATGCCTCACACCGGAGTAAGGCTTGTCGTCCCGTGGCCGCTTCATTGCTCTTGGACTCTGTGATGGTGGGAGGGTCTGCAGGAAGGAAACACGTGGTGACTTCACACACTTCCAGGTGGAATGAAACAGTGAAACTATGTCAGGGCTGGCTTCCTCATGCAAACCATTCAGGCTGGTGGAGGCCCACAGCTGCTGCTTGCTGTGGCACGTGTTCCCCCCGCTCCTCTGGAGAATACCTGCTCTTTGAACTCTCCCTAATACACTGCATTAGCATCACTCCTTACGTGTGCTTCTCTTCAGCAAGACTGGATAAAGTTCTGTCATAAATGCATAGGCATACACAGGCAGAGTTAAGGTTAATGATGGGCTTCTGTAATTTATGAATATTTACCTGTGGATCTCTAGTTCACATGGGCTCATCAGAGAGAAGATGAGAGAAAGACTTCATCAAGGGTAAAGGAAGACAGCAAAAGTAAAAGGAGTAAAGTAGGAATTTAACACTAGCGTGAAAATTATTTTCCATACAACCTCTGTGTCTAATGTCAAACTTTAATGAGAAAGCACTGAGGCAACATGTATAAGACAGAAATACATTCACGGCTTAAAAGGGAAGAGCTTTAGCAGAAGCTGTGGGTGCAATTTTGAGAGCCAGACCACTTGTTGAGACACTTCCCTTAGGTGTCTAAGGTTACAAATCCTGCCCAAACCTTCCTGGACATCATGCTTTGTCACAGGCTCCAAAAGGGCTTGGCCGTGATTGCTTTGCGTGAAGCTTGCCCTCAGCCCAGCACGGTGCTCCCACCTCTGCTTACTTTGAAGACTGAGAGTTGTGCCATAGGCAAACAAAACTTGGGAAACATATCGGTGTGCTCTGCTGGAGCTAGCTCTCAGTGCTGGCTGGGTGCTGGGTAGGGTAGGCACCAGCATCTTCAATCCCAGCCCCACGTTCAAAATGTTAAGCGACAAGCTTTACATGTTAAAAGGCAGAATTATTTCCACCTGGCTGCCGAGAGGGATCAGGGAATAAGTGCCTTGTCTCTCATCACTAATACTTGCATACCCTGAGATTACGGGGCTGCAACTCAGACAGCTACTTTGCTGAGACTCAAGTTACCATAAAGCACACTCTCTGTGTACAGAGTACAGCTCCACTGTCGGTATCTGTCCCAGCACTGAAAGGCCAAAAAAAGAATCAAAATGGATTGTGTCAGTCAAAGATAAAAATAATTCTGTCTGGAAAATGTATGGAAAGAAGTTTGTTTGTGAACACATTAGCCATCTCAATGTGATCCTTTTCCTGACCTTAATCGGGATTTTATGCAGGGCTTTAGGGATATTGCAGTGCGCCCTCTAACATCATAAATATTAATAAGTGTACATAAATAGGATCCTACATTCAAAGGCTGTGGGTTCATGTAAATATTTTAATTTGGAAAGGAGGAGGGGTAATAAAAGGATAGTGAAGGTGATTTTTTAAGCACCCTTCTTCGATTTTTTGGTTCAAGCACTGTATCTTCTTGCCGTCTGCACTGAGACAAACCTTCTCCATTTCACTGAATCCAGCACAAGAGGTGACTTACAAAATGAACAAGCACCTTTCTATGGGCCTAGAAAATGACCCCGGCAGGCCTGTGCTCCCCGGGCTGCTGCCAGGGAGCCCAGCCCCTCGCTCTGAGCAGTCCCTGCCTTAGCCATCCTCCTCGGCTTTTTAAAGGACAGAGCCCAGACGGGTGGACAGGCCATACCTCAGCCGCCACCACTTTTGTTAAGGCACTGCTGGCCTCGAGGCTGCCCACTCAGCGAGGGGCAGTCTGCTTGCTGCAATGCTCCCCCAGAAGAAGGAGCAGGCGGTGGCCTTGAACAAACCAGCCTATTGTATTCAGAAAGCAGCCGCTCTGTGTTTAGCTGCTTGCTGCTGGGGAAGCCAGTTAGCTGTTTTTCCCCCACTCTTCCCCAGGCCTCAGTTTCCCTGTCTGTGATGTGCAAGGGCCATTACTCGGGAAGCCTGAAGGTGGTAGTGTGAGACCAAAGCAAAACGAGGATGCTCTCTCCTGCAGTCCGGGCTGACAAGCTATGTGCTCCACAGCATCAGCAGATGATAAGAGATGGCCAGGAAGATCCTGAGGTTGGGCAGGTCCCATTTTTCAAACTTACTATAGTTTTCCCACTTTCTGCTGCTTGTGGTGTAGTTTAAGAAAGCAAGATAAGGAAAGATGTATGCAAATGTCTAGCTTTCATTCCCCAAACAGGACTGATTTTTTTCCTGTGCATGGCCCTCATGACCTCTTAGATTTTCTCCCTTTGTTTCGAAAGAAAAGATCTGTCCTGAAGAAACTTACAAGTTGCTTACGTTACAAATTAGGCCTCATAATAATATTACAATACTCTATCACATTATATTTTCATATATTCCAACAGTAAAAATGTTTAAGATCTTACTGTAGCATAGTTATTATGAGCTGAAACTAAGTCAAAATCAAACATTCTGACTTTATACAAACAATCTGTTTCAACCATGTTAAAAGCATCGCTGAAATTATGTTTCACAGAAATATTTGAAAATATTAATTGGTTCTCATGGAACTTCTCAGGTTTATAAACTCAGCTGTTTTTGATAGGAAACAACGCTCAACAGTTTTAGTGCAGAAAATCTGCTACTACAGTTTCACATTAATGCCAAATTTGGCCCTTGAAGCAGCCGGTATTAAACCACTGCCACCCAATTTCTAAGGGAATTATAAAAAACTGTGGATTTTGAAGATGCTGCAGGAAGCCTATAACCTTGACTTCTAAGCAAGACAGACAAGTTGATCTGATGTGATGGCCCAAAGGGAAAGAAAGAGACAGAGAGCAAGAATGGTATTAAAAGGTGCTAAAATCACCTGTGGTGGCAAATTAGACCAGGATGGGCTGAAACACTTGCTGCCGTCAGCTCTCTGCCCTAACCCACTCCCCGAGACTGCCACCCATGAATCAAGGCCATGCATATGCACCCTGAAACATGTCTGTAACCATCTCCAATTTCAGTTTAAGTTAATATTCTGGTGTGTAAACTGAAGGAGGTCAGGTCCCATTCATTCTTCCCTGCTGCAGAGGTATTAGCCTCCAAGCAAGGAAACAGAGCAGGTAGATGGGGATATTCACTTTAAACCACTCCAGTGCCAAATATGAGCCATACAAATATGGAGGTGGACATGTAGGATTATAAGAGTGAGAGTAGTCTGAAATATCTTGTGTCACTGTGAGAGGAGCATGCCAGCAGAGTGGACATCTGTCTAAGCACGTATGGGCAATGGGATCCATGCCCCACTCATACAGGTGTGGATGTAAGCCATGTAGCTAACTATGCCTCTTGGTGTTTTTAGGTGGATTCCCGTATCCTTTGGTCAAGCCCCCTTCTGTATTGCCTTGGTCCATGGAGGGTCTCTTAGAGAGGGCTTTATGCTACTGACCTGAAACCAGCATAAAAGTCAAGTTTTTGTACCCTCTCATTAACACATGCCTCTACCGCACGTCACCCCCAGGCCCCGGGGCTGTGATACCCATGTAGGCACTGCTGAGATGGCTGGGTGCAGGCAGGCATGTGTTTGCTCTGAGCCGTCTGAACCCTCCCTTATCTCTCCTTGCTGCCTTGCTGAAGCTTCTCTTCACGCTACTGTTCTCCCAAATAGCAATGAGTGAAAACAAGGCACTGCCAGCGTTTCTGAGGGGAGAGACAGGGGCAACTCACAGGTCCTCTCTTTTTTTTTTCTCTCTCTCTCTCTTTCTTTTCTTATATATTACCAGGTTTAAAGCACAAACTATACCCTGCGATAAGTGTCTGATTGCAGATAGTTTCCTCAGCGTCCCCCCCCATTTCAGTTCATATAATATAAACCCAGAAAGGCTTCTCTATTTATCCTAAAGTCACCCCTGCCCATGGGCAAAGCTCTCGCCGTTGACCCGCTCCAGTTGCAATGCACTCACAGTTCACAGTGACCCGGACTTGCTTGACGTCTGCTGAAGCAACCTCGTTGGCAGCTTTGCATTCGTACTTGCCCGATTGCTCTCGTGTGATCCCTAGGATCTCCAGATACTCTTCCTCGCCTTCAAACTCTCTGCCTGGTAGGACAGAAAAATACAGATGGTAGCGCTGTTAGGCATTCAGATTTGGGAAGCATTCTGCTTAATTGCTATGGAGGAACAATCACAACAGGGATTCTGCAAATAAACAACGGTCATGAGTGATTTTAAAGTTATTTCAGGAGCCATATCAGCAAGATACTAGCATTTTATTTAGTTATGGAAAACTTGGGTTCTGAAAATCTGGAAGGAAGCATACAAGCGGTGCCAAAGCATTGCATATCACAGGCTGTCCAGGCCAAGAAGCAAAATCTCCACCACATGAGACTGGAGTAAGTTCACTGGTGTGATGGCTGAGTACCAGGGAAGGTTAGTCAGCCTGTGGCCGATGGGCTGGTTCAGGGCTAGCTGGGTCCTCAGATGTGGTGATGTATTGTCAGCACCTTTTTCTCCACTGCAAAGCTGTGAAAAATGTCTTTCTGTCTCTCGGAGCAACCACCACCCTGAAGTGCCATCGATCAGATTGAGCTACTGTTAAACACGGCCAAACTGAGAGAAACAAAGTGTAATTTGATATACGGAGACCAATAATCATCACAAATCCCTGATCTACTGTACATACGAAATGACATATTTAAACCGTGCTGCCTCGCTAACAGAGTTTTGAAAGCAGTGACTTGAGCATCGGGGTTACAGCCGGGGGCAGGAATCAGGGGCGGTCTGTGGCCTTGCTTTTAATTCACTGTATGACCTTGGGTGAGTCACTCCCTTGCTCTCCCTCTGTGAACTGCGGCTAATAGCCCCCCTCTCCCATCACCTCCTGGTCAGAGAAGGGCGGTGAGGTTAACCCATGTAAAACACATTAGAATCGTTGGATGAAAGGTGCCAGGGAAGCATGAAATATTAGGATTGGTATATCACCCTATTCCTTCAGAAACCAAAGTAATGCTCCTCCTGGAAAGAATCTGAACCACATTGGCAGCAGTGTAAAGGGAGATGCTTCCGTCCTCTGAAAGGGCTGCAAGCACTGGTCTGCAGCATGCGAAGCCACAAGCCCCAGTTGTGTGCCTGTGTATGTTTAGAGAAAGCGTCCCCCAAGCCTCAAAGGGTAAAAGCCAGATTTCAAAAAAACCCAAAGGTCAGCTCACAAGAGCTCTCATTCAGGTTCCTCAGAGAGCGGTCAGATTTTCCAAAGCAACTCTCTGCCCAGAAGAAATTTTCTGCTCGATGGGTGCTGGGCACTTCTGAAACCCTGCCCACTTCACATAAGTGCTTAGAGTTGTTTGATGGAGTTCAAATAGTGCCTGCAAGGACCCGGCTGTTGTCCTTGGCTCTGCAGCACTGTGTGAAAGCAGTGGGTAAGCCCCATCTCTGGAGCTAATGTTCCCGTGGAGCCACCTGCAATGAATCCCACCACACAGGCACAGGTTTGCTGCAGCATGTTGGCCAGGTCAGGCTGGGGATGCCAGCTGCATGCATTTCCCTTCTGCATCAGAGATAGGGACTTCAGCAACTTCAAAATCTGCTCAGAACTCTGTCCCTTACACAATTATTTTTGCCTTTTTAATTTTTTTTCCCCGGCAATTTTCAGAACTGTTCTAGGGGAAAACCACCCCCCATTCACAGAGACTCAGCATGAAAACAGCAGTGTACCTATTAAATTCATGCAAAGACAAGGTTTCCCCTCTCTTTCAGCGGGGCTAACCAGCAGTCTCTTTTCCAGCCCCTACCAGATGTTCAGGTGAGCAGAAATCTCATTGCAATGTCTAAAACTTACAACTGCTTTGATGCAGGTTTTTGCATCCCCTAACAGTCTGCTGAAGGGCCTTACTGCATGGCAGCAGTGTATTTTACACGGTAGGGAGGCAAAGTTGGCTCCTGCTGCCCACTCAGTGCTCCAGGACAGGGCTCTCAGTCCTCTGCTGTGTTACTGGGGCTGATGCTCTGGAGAGTCAGCGGAGGATTTTCACAGGTGCTTTTTATCTCTGTAACTCATGAATATGCCGGGGAATCTTCACTCCTGTAGGACCAGAGTTAGGTGAGTCATAGTACTGGAAGGGACTTCAGTCACCATCTAGCCCGTTCCCCAACCTCAAGGCAGGACACATGGGTCATGTCAGGGAGACAGCCACCCTCTGCCCTCCAGCGGCAGAGACTCTGCAGCCACTCCAGACGATCTGTTCCCGTGCTTCACTGTTCTTACCACTGGAGCAGTTTCCCTGAAGTTTGACCTGAGTCTCCCTTGCTGCAATTTAAAGCTATTATTTTTGTCTTAGCCACTACAGACAAAAAGAACAAATCATTCCCTCCTTCTCTGCAATAGCCTTTTATCAACTTTTAAATCACTTATGTTCCTCCCTCAGTTTTCATCTTTTTTTTTTTTTTTTGGCTGACTATTGCCAGGTCTGTCAACCTTCCTCTGTAGGTGAGGTTTTTCAGACCCTTGATCATTCTTGTTCTTTCCTTTCAGACCCCTCTGACAAGTTCACATTTTTCTGGAAGTGCGACGCCCCAAACCGAACACAGCATTTCAGACGAGGTGTTACCATGGCTGAACGCAGATGAAGGATTGCATCGCAACTTCTGTGCTGTGCTGCTGTCTGTACAGCCAATACATTGTTTGTGGTTTTGCCATAGCATGATTCATTTTTGGCTGGGAACTTTTTTAATTCCCAGATCTTCTCAGCACATACTGCTACCGGCTAATAATCTTCTTTGAAAATCCCACCCCCAATTTGAGCTGACAACCAACACTCCCCTCCTTTCACAGCAGCACTCCCAGTTGGTAGGTGAGCCAGTTGACTGGAAAGTTAATCAGACATCAGGGAAAGACTCACAAAGAAAAGGTTAAAACGTAATTTGCCTCTGCTTTGCAAATCATTTGCTCTGCAATTCTGCCTTGTTTATACACAGGGTTCACTCCAAGTGGGACTTGCTTCTCCTGCAATTTGCCCTTGTCACAAGACTGTCACCATAATGAAAAGAGGGTTGAGGGTGACTTAACCAGCTCTAATGGAGTGGCACCCTCATTAAGGGAGCTGTTAAGTCTGTCTGTCAGAGAACCACATCAATGGAGCTCCAAAGTATCCTAAAAGGGTACATACTTTCTGAAGGGAAGATGTTTTTCAGCTTCTCCCCTGCATACGTACATGCACGTAAAGTCTAAACCGTGTACCGTGACCAACAGGAGAGCTTTCACAGCTACACACAACACTTCCCAAGAGATGATGAGCTGCTGGTTTGCCCAGTGGAGCTCTCTGGGAATGAGTGAAAGGGAGGACTTCTGTTTTAAAGGGCATGCCAAAGACATCAATAGGCCTATTCAGCTCCTCATTCCCCTGCTCCAGGACACAGATAGGAGCATAAAACTTCAGGGAAAGTTTCTGTGACAGTTTCTTGCTAAAATAGTGGTAGCACTGTTCCTGTCCCTACTCTGGTGACCTGTTTCAACCCTGGGCATCAACATTTTGCTACAAGAACTCAGCTACTCTCACTTGCAAGACAGACCCTTTTGCTTGCAGCCCTGTCCCCTCTAAGAGCACATTAACCATTTCTAACAAAAAGCATTTATATAAAATTGAGGTGTCATAGTACAGATCAGGGAGAGGAAAGATGTATCACAGTGTGTTAGAAAAATGTCAGGTTGTGATATTCTGCACAGAGCTGTAGAGATGTTTTCACTAATTCACCTTGGCAGCCAGATTAGGTGAGTCATATAACTCTAACCTCTAAGGCAAAGGCGGGGCGGGGAGAGCAGGAACAGAGCTTTATACACTGAGCGAATTTACAAATGTTTCCATGCAGGAGCCAGCTTTGGCAGGGAGCTGATGGTTGTCACTATGCAGTTTATCAAAGCGGGGAGGAAGAAGGCTTGGACAATGCTGTTTGGTACCAATAACAATGAACATATTCTATTAGGTGAAAAGAGGGACTGCCAGCTCCTGGCAAGTCAGCCACTCCATTCCCATTAAGAGAAGACATTTGCCTTGAGCGTGTTACCCAGGGACGAAATCCTGACCCTACTGCCAAACCTTCCTCGCTGACATGGGTTGTCCCCTGGCTGTTTTGTCTGGTTCAGTACAACCCCTTCCCAGTGAGAGGCCTTCCAGGTTTCCCTCGGGGGGATGACTCCTCGTGCTGCGCAGCTCTTCTCATCCCAAAGCATCCCTTCCCATGACTCCAGGCAACCTTCTTCCCTGCGGGTTTTTTGCCTTTCACATATTCATAGTTAGCTTGGTTTGTTGCTGCAGCCCCATTAAACACCGTCTTGCCAAGCTGTAGCTCCTTAACTCTGTCCCAGTAAATCAGAAAGAGGAGCTTTCTGCTCTGGAGGCTGGAGATAGAGAGTACAAGCCTGGGAGGGTTGACAATCAAACCAAGAGGGAACGACCCTGAGCAGAGTGAGCCAGGCGCCTGCCGCTGCTCGGAGCTGGCAGAGCCCTTTTTGCAGAGGGATCTGCGGCAGACAGCTTTGATGTGTGCAGAAGGAAAGCTTTGAAGGCCCGCTTGCCTCAGCCACATTTCCTATCCCCTGGCTTCCTAATTGGATCCAGTAAAGTAAATAATGAACCCAAACAGCAAACCTGCTTGGCAATGCTAGCCTGCTGGCAAGAAGCCCCCCTCTCCTCCCACCCTTTGGAGATAGCCTTGTACAACCCCATGGGCTCTGCATACTGTCCCCTGTTGACGTGTACACCTGCCTATGCTCTCGTATATATATGAGAGAGATATATATAAAAAATAGACACATATTATATTCTATATTTTATATATTATGTATTTTATATATTTTTATATATATAAATCCCACTGTGTGTGCAGAAACGCAGACTTACACCCTCCCCACGTATTTATGGGTCCTTCCCACCTCCACCCAAACGGCCCTTTGCACTGCCATGCACCA